GGGGGGGATGGAGCCTCTCTGGGGTCAGCCCAAAGCGCTCCCCATCTGCTGCAGGGTGTAAAGCAGCCCGCAGAGGAGGCTAAAGGAGACCTGCCTCCACCCCAAAGCCTGGCCAGAGGGTTTCTTGCAGTGTTGCTGTAGAGGTGTGACCAGTGCAGGGGTCAGATCGCCAGTGTCAGCTCTGCGGACCCTTTGTCCGTGGGGCTGAGGTAGATGGCAAAAAACTGCCCCGTAGAGAGGTGGCAGGGCCTGGGACACGAGGTTGCCATGTGCTCGGATGCGTGTGTCGTTGGGAATGGTTCTTGTTCTGGGTTTTCTCTCTCTCCCACCACCATCTTTCTCAGTGGTGTCCTACAGGTTTTCCTGGTCTCTCTCCTATTCACACGTGGTGTCTTATTTTGCCCTGGGCTGTAGCTAAAACTCAGGATGGTGTGGCCTTAGAGATCCAGCCCCTGAAGAGCCAGGAAGGGGTGGAAAATGAGGAGAAGGAGAAGAAGAAGGTGAAGGTGCCCAAGAAGGAGAAGTCTGTGCTGCAAGGGAAGCTCACGCGCCTGGCAGTCCAGATCGGGAAGGCGGGTGAGTGGTGGGGACCCAGCATGAGCCGTCACCCCCGAGCTCTCGCTGGAAGTGGCACGGGAAGAAGGGGCTGTCCCCTTCCCCTGCGTCCCCTCACCTGCCGTTCTGCCGCTTCCTTCCCCAGGGCTGATCATGTCGGCCATCACAGTCATCATCTTGGTGCTGTACTTTGTGATCGACACGTTTGGGGTGCAGGGGCGGCCTTGGCTGGCGGAGTGCACCCCCATTTACATCCAGTACTTTGTTAAGTTCTTCATCATCGGTGTCACCGTCTTGGTGGTGGCTGTGCCTGAAGGGCTCCCGCTGGCGGTCACCATCTCCCTGGCCTACTCCGTGAAGGTGAGACCATGATGGAGCGGGATTGCTGGGGGTATGATGGGGAAATTCACACTTTTGGTTCTGACCTTCTTGGTCATGGTGCCTGTTGCAGAAAATGATGAAGGACAACAACCTCGTGAGACACCTGGACGCGTGTGAGACCATGGGCAATGCCACCGCCATCTGCTCAGACAAGACGGGCACGCTCACCATGAACCGCATGACTGTGGTGCAGGCCTACGTGGGGGACACCCACTACCGCCAGATCCCCGACCCTGAAGCCATCCTGCCCAAGATCCTGGACCTCATAGTCAACGGTGTCGCCATCAACTCTGCCTACACATCCAAGATCCTGGTGAGTTGGAGAACCACAGCCTTGTGTCTTCTGGTCTTGCCACCATTGGCCATCCCTGCAGCTCCCATCCTGCTATACCCAGGCTTGGCATTGCTTTTCCTTTCCTTTTTCCTCTCCAGCCACCCGAGAAGGAAGGGGGGCTACCCCGGCAAGTGGGGAACAAGACCGAATGCGCCCTCCTGGGTTTCGTGCTGGACCTGAAGCAGGATTACCAGGCTGTGCGGAACGAGGTGCCGGAGGAGAAGCTCTATAAGGTCTACACGTTCAACTCGGTGCGCAAGTCCATGAGCACGGTGCTGAAGAACGGCAACGGCGGCTTCCGCATGTACAGCAAGGGAGCCTCAGAGATCATCCTCCGCAAGTAACCGTCCTCCCTCGCTCGCTGGTCCTCTCCCGTCCTGTGGGCTTTAGGGTCTCAATGCACCGCGGAGCTGTTCTGGGGGGCTGCGGGTGAAGGGTGCTCAGCTGCTGTGGAGCAGGGAGGTGACTGTCAGGAGGGGCTGCCATGCAAAGCGTTTAACTTAGGGTGGCTTCGGTGGAGCTGCGGGTAAGGGGGATGCCCCCGTTCTGCAGATGGGGAACCTGGGTGACAGGGGGAGCAGATCGCTGAGCCAGCAGCACATGCCACCACCGGTCTCCCTCACTCTCCATCCCCGTCCTGCATTAGGTGCACCAGGATCCTGGACAAGAACGGTGACCCCCGGGTGTTCAAAGTGAAGGACCGGGATGAGATGGTGAAGAAGGTGATAGAGCCCATGGCCTGCCATGGGCTGCGCACCATCTGCCTGGCCTTCCGTGACTTCTCCGCCGATGCCGAGCCGGACTGGGACAGTGAGAACGAGATCCTGTCTGACCTGACCTGCATCGCTGTGGTTGGGATAGAGGACCCTGTGCGGCCAGAGGTACTGAACCCCAGCGCGGCCCAGGCTGTCCTCCACCCCAGCCCTGTTCCTGGGCCGGGAGCCCCTTCCCTGCTGCTCAGGACCACGAGCCCCTCACGAAAGCACAAGCAGCTCCTCTGCATCCATCCCTGAAGTGCCCCACGCTACCAGCTCCCTGCTGCCGGCACTCCTCCCCCATACCTGGACAGAATGACCTGGTGGCAGGCTGCTTCCACCCAAACCTTCCCCCCGGCTGCTACTGGGGGTCTGCGCACAAGCCAGACTGGTTCCACTGCAGTTGAAAGGTGTATGGAGACACGGGGTAGGGGTGACAGAGGGGTGTTGGAGAGGGACAGGGTTGATCCAGCTGGTTCCTCCCTCGCAGCTTGCGGGGATGACGGGCAGGCAGCTGGGCTAATGCAATCGCCAAACAGCCCGCCTATCCCTGCCTCTTGATTACATTTCGGAGCTTGCCCCTGCGCTCCTGCCTTGCTTGCATCTTTCCTGATTAGATGTTCAAGTATCTGGGTCTGGGAATTGCATTACAGATGCCCTGTCTGCACCGGCTCTGGAGGCCGTTGATTCAATTTGCTAATTTCTCACTAATATCCTCTTCCCCCATCGCTCCAGAATAGATAAACCCATTAAAGCAGCAACGTGCTGCCAGAGCGGTGGGGCAGACAAAATGCCCCCGTCATGATGGATTGCCGGGCCGGGCCCTGGCGCCCGGCACCACGGTGTGCCGGGGAGGAGGTAGTGAGGCTGCCCTCCCCTTGGGGCAGGGGCTGGGAGATCGCTGGCTGTGCC